GGGCCTCAATAGCTGCAGTAGGCTATTGGGCCTCAATAGCTGCAGTAGGCTATTGGGGGTTGCTGTAGTAGAACTATATAGGGAGGATCATCCCTAGACCCTAAACCCTAAACCCTAAACCCTAAAGCCCTAAACCCTAAACCCTAAACCCTATAGGGAGGATCAACCCTAGATCCTAAACCCTAAAGCGGAGCCCTCACAGCGTAAGCTCCCTGAAGGTCGGAGTTTACGAAGTCTGCGTCCAAGTGCTCTGTAAGTCCGGAGGATAGCTTCGTTTAGTGGCCGAAGTTAAGGCTTATAGGGTTTAGGGTTTAGGGTTTAGGGTTACAGTTCAGGAAACTCATGCAGAGGTCTGAATGAAAAGCAGTGACATCCCTTGTAGTCCTTGCATAGAACCATACAGAAGCACAACCTATCCAAACCACTAAACCTCACACACCCACCCTATGCCATCAATGCCAAGCCCTAAAATTTAGGGTTTAGAGTTTTAGGTCCAGCGGGCTCCAGCCCATACAAACCCAAACCCTTCTACACACCCCCTCCCTCTCGGGTCCAGCGTGGTCCAGCTGTTTTCCCGCAGGGTCTGGTAGGTACTGAGCCCACCTTGGAAATTTGGCACCGGAGAGCTTTAGACTTCACGGATAACAACAGATGGAGTGATGAACTCTGCATTACAAACCAAACACAACCCCCTAAACCCTAAACCCTAAACCCTTCTGCATTACAACCAAACACAACCACATACTCAGAAGGGGCAAATCTACGTCTTAGAGCATGGGCCCCAAGCGAAAGGCTCGGAGCCCTGGACCTAAGCCAAGCTTAGGGTTTGGGGCTTGGGGCTTAGGGTTTAGGGTTTAGGCTTTAGGGTTTAGGGTGAACTTAAGCCAAAGTTAGGCTTTGGGGCTTGGGGCTTAGGTGCAAAGCCCTGGCAAAAAGAGGAAGCCATCATGGCGCGATCAGCCGAGTCTCTCAGCCACTCAGCGGTCTCCTAGCGAGGACTGGGATATCGCGGATTCCCTTCGCCTTCCTCTTCTCTGCCAGATGGTGTAGGATAGAAAGCTAAACTCCCAACTTTGCAGCCTAAACCGTGCAAACCCTATGCCCCAAACCCAAAACCCGTCAAAACCCGAAACCCTGAGGCCCTCAACCCTGAAACCCTAAACCCTAAGCGCCAAACCCTGAGCCCTAAATCCTTAACCCTAAACCCAAACCCTAAACCCTAAACCCCTAAACCCTAAACCCTAAACCCTAAAAGGTCTTCAGGGGGCCCTCAGGTTCCTGCAAACCCCTGACACCGATAGAGCCCTTAGGTACTACAGGGTTGCATAACAGGGTTCCCCTGTAATGGTACTATAGGGTTCCCCTGTGAATGGTGCTATAGGGTTCCCCCTTAAATGGCACTTTTGGGTTCTACAACAGGGGTTTCGGAATGGTACTTTCGGGTTCTACGAAAGGGGTTTCAAGGCTTTCGGATTGGGTTTAGGGGCGCGGGCTCTCCTTCTCCAGCCCCGTCAGGGCGTTCTCCCGCAGCTGGGTGATGTCCTGAGCAGCGTGCAGCGCGACATGGCGACACCATAGATTCAAATCTGCATGTGCTCCAGGGGCCAGAACAATTAGAACAGGGAATGGTAATAACTCTTTGAACGACTAACCGGAAAACTGTTCTTAGTTATTAAGGCCCATATTGCCATGCTTCAACGTTTCAGCAAAGCAGCAACCTTCTTCGTGCTCTCTACCCAGACGAGGAAGAACTCTCGCACGTTCTCATTCAGGACGACGGAGTCGTAGCCTGCAAGAAGTCTTGCTGGGGCAGTGCTCTAAAACCTATTTAAACCTTGATCCCAAAGCCCACAAAGCAGCGGATGGATCAGACAAAGTGCAGCCGACACATAAGAGATTCTTCTTCAACTGGAGGGTGCACATGGGGGTGTGTCCAAATACAGGCCGGGGCAAGGTTCATATGGTTGCAAAGTCAAATTGATGGAAGATAGAAAGATACATGGATAGAAAGATAGGTAGGTAGATAGACAGACAGATACGTATATAGATAGACAGGTAGATAGATAGCAAGACAGATAGATAGAGAGATAGAGAGATGGAGAGATAGAGAGATAGATAAATAGATAGATAGATAGATAGATAGATAGATAAACAAACAAGTAGATGGATAAATGAATGGATCAGGTCGATAGACACATCTCTACATACATATATGTGTATATATACACACATATAAGCACACAGAAAATGTATGCACGCACATACTTACATACGTACGTACGTAGGTAGGTAGGTAGGTAGGTAGGTAGGTAGGTAGGCAGGCAGGCAGGCAGGCAGGCAGGTAGGTAGGTAGGTAGGTAGGTAGAAGGTAGGTAGGTAGGTAGGTCCCTCCCTTCTCTGCTTACCTACCTACCTACCTACCTACCTACCTACCTACCGACCCACCCACCGACCGACCGACCGACCGACCGACCGACCGACCGACCGACCAACCCACTGACCCACCGACCGACCGACCCACCGACCTACCGACCTACCTACCTACTTACCTACCTACCTACCTACCTACCTACCTACCTACCTAACCTTACCTAACCTACCTACCTACCTACCTACCTACCTACCTACC